TGGGTTGATGAGGTTAGCCATAAAAAGTGAGACCGTACCATTTTTTATTGGCAGTGATTCCATGTAGGGATATTGTTAAAGTAGAAATTAGGTAAAAGAGCGCTATATTAAAAAGTAACTGCTATGACCTTCTATAAATAGATTTTAATGTATGTCTATCTATGTATTATTATATTTGATTCATTTTTCGTGAAGTAAATGTAAAAAAAATAAATAAGTAGAATTAAAGCTGCAAGCAGTGACGAGAGGGCCCTCGCACCCCAGCGCATCAAGCTAAGCCCAACACCTACGCCCAGCAGGCAGCGATGGAGATTACCGTCCAATCTGATGTCCCACTGACGCATATCATGAGTAGAACCACCAGTTAAAATTTTATCTCGTTCAATGATGATTATAACCCACTTTGCATTTCCTCTTCCCACTAGGCACTGCTCTAACCATTACTGACAAATGGCACATGAATCGGTTCGGGGCTGGACTCTCATTCTGCCTGTTAAGTTTGGGAAAGTTTTGGGAAAGCCAAGTGTATCTTTTAGTTACAACAGTTAAATGCTTCTTCTGATCATGTGATTGAAGGTCGACGTGTCGCCATGACCACATGGTTTCACAAAACGTGAAAAGCTTTGCAATTTAGCATCATCAAGGTCTTTAGATTTCACCCGTTGAAGATCACGTGAATGTGATTAAATCCCTAGGAGGAGTTCGTTAAAGTACGAGGCCTGAAAACATCTTGGCATTTTACATAAGCCTGCCAAATTTCAGACACATAGATGAAACATAGAGTAGGGGGTGGTCTTTTGAAATTTTGTATGGGGTGCTGTGGAGCTATTTTGCAATATTCCATGAAAACGACCATATAACAAGAAAGCCTTCCTCAGATTGGAGGTTTACACCTATAAAAAATCAATTGAGGATTAATGATTCGATATCACTTTATTCAAGCTAAAATCGATCTGAATCGGAAAATCTCCGGGCTAAACTCGGCTAACTTTGTTATAGCGGTAGTTTAGTGCTCTTCATTATGGGGGCCGTTTGTAAACTGAAACATGCTGGAATTAACAGCAACATTTTTCCACTTTTAGCTCAAAACCTTACAAAAACATGTTTTTTCGAGTCATTTTTTACAACATTCACTAAAATATTTGTAGCTTTTTATGTTTAAAACACAATTTTAAATGTTAACTTTAACCTGCTTATGGTGGAGTCTGACAACTCTCGAAGAGCAGTGCACAGTCTGGACAGTGGGAGGTTCCTAAGTATACTGCACAGCATCTTTGGGCTGATTGATGACAGGATCACAGGTAGAGGTATTCAATTTACAGTTATTTATATTTATTTATAGTAAAATGTCGATAAAATGGTGGCAAGTAAACTAAATCTCCAAATCATCACTATCACCCTGTAAATACTCTCCAATTTGGCACAACCCACAATTCTTATTATACAATAGCCCTGTCCACTTTCCAATATGGGAGCACAAAGGAATCACTCACCTCCACCAGCTCTTTCAAAATGATGAAATCATATCCTTCAGTACATTTGTCCAGGAGAACAGAGTTGGGAATGAACAATATCTTCAATACAAACAATTAAAATCTATAATTAAATCCAAGACATGTTGTGAGTGTAACTGTCTGTCATTCAGTCTTCACTACATTTGACAAAGACAAAGACGGCGTTGTCGGCATGGAAGAGTGGATTGAGGGGACTGCCTGTTTTTCTTCGGTGCACCTTGGATGAAAAAATTTAATGTAATTCCTCAATCTTACTTTTTTTGCTTCTCTCACACCTTAACACATGTAGCTTATCTGCCTAAAACAAATTCCTATGTTTGGCATGGCTCAGATTGCTTCAGCATGTACGACTTGAATGGTGACAATGCCATCTCTAGAGAGGAGATGCTCAATTTTCTGAAGGAGAGGCTCATCAGACGGCCCAATGAGGACCCTGACGAAGGAATCAAAGACCTGGTGGAGATCATACTGAAAAAGATGGTGAGCTGTTTGCTGCACAGATAAAACTGTTTTCACGTGGTTTTCCAAAAAATAAAAATATTAAAAAAATTCTCAGGTCTGTAAATAATTTACCAGCTCTGCCAATGGTGCTTCCTCCCACAGGACTATGATCTTGATGCCAATGTGTCTTTTAAATATTTTGAAAAGGTTGTGAAAGATGAGAACCTATTCCTGGAATCTTTTGGACACTGCCTTCCTGATTTCAGGGTAATCTGTAATGAGAAGCTCTTTAAATTTCAGAAATTCAAAAATTCTCAATCTGACAGTTTGCTTTTCTTATTTTTTCAGAGAGTCGAGATGTTTGAAGGAAGTGTATTTCAGGAACAAATGGAAGAATAAAGAAATCGCATACCTGCATAATCAGCCTAAACATCTTTAATATTAATCTCAATGGCCGCAGTGCTGTGATGTAAAATTTGTTAAATAAAAAAAATGGATAGTTCTGGTAGTTTTGGCCCAATCAAAGGCTCATTATGACCAGAAACAGTAATGGAGGGCTCCTCAGCCTCTTCCATTTTGCCTTTAGGGTTCTCCCAAGTGTGTGGTCCAAAGGAGAAATCTGACTGCAGTGGTCTGATGTGCTGCTTGTCTCTATTTGAGAAGGTCTATTTGCACCTTGAATCCACTTCTCGCTGTGTCAGCACAGGTATTGTGTAAAGTCCCTATTTTATCCTCTGTCAGTAAAACCCTATGTTGACTTTTAGGTCCATAGTAATGATGTTCTTGGGGAGGTAATAGCAGAAGAGTAAAGTCTAAATAGCAGCTGATGTTTGAAGTTTCCCTTGTATTGTCATTTCCAGAGGTTTGTTTGCGTGTGAGGTTGTTGTCGTCTGACGTGGTAGTTTTTTCTGATGAAGAAGGCTCCTCTTGCGTGTCCTCTTTCTGTGTAAAAATCAACATCATTTAAAAAGATCCCAGTCAAATTAAAAGAAAAGTGCCAAAGGGAAATTGTGGAAATGTACAAAGAAACAATGAAAAGATGTAAAGTGACTAGTTGTGTGTGTGTGTGATTATCTTAGCTTAGGTTTGCTCGGACTAAGGTGGAACTAAGTTGTTGTTTATTGGAGTGGTGGATTTTGTGAAGCAAAATCTAACCTATAGATATAAAATTATACGGACTTAGCACATGTGCAGCACACCACCATAGAAACTTTTCTCACCCATGTGTCGCTTTGCTGAACTGAAACCAAATTATTCCGAAGGTTCTTCAGACTTTGCCAGTTATGCATAACGAACAGTTTCTGGAACTTTACAAAGTAGACCTCTGTGAACTCCTCAGCAGGATACTCATCCAGGGGCCTATACTCCTCTACAGCTCCATAGAGGGCAAACAGCTGAATCAAGTTATAACCCCAATTTCTGGGACCCCTTGAACCATCAGATAACGACTCTCTAGATTTATGGTGTACACCTGCAAATAATGCAACACTTCACTGCGGTACACTGGTGCGAAAATGTTTGTGTGAAAACTGTAAATAGTGGCTATATTTATCGTCCATATTGTACATTTTACAGTGGTGGCACATTTCTGTAGAGACATTTTGGACTGTTTAACCCTTCTGAAACTTTTGAATGTTTTCCCAAAGTTTTGGGGATCATCAAGATGAGCTGTGGTGGATGTGAGACGAGGCGTTTTGTTCTTTGCAGTCACCAGTGGTTTTCTCATTGGAACACTTCCATGGATGCCATTTATGTCCAGTCTCTTTCTTATTGTTTAATCATGAACTCTGACTGAGGCGAGTGAGGACTGCAGTTCGTTAATGTTGTTCTGGGTTCTTTGTGACCTCCTGGATGAGTCATCGATGCACTGAATGTTGGTAGGCCAGCCACTCCTGGTAAGGTTCACGACTGTTACAAGTTCTTTTCCAATTGTGGTTAATGGATCTCACTGTGGTTCACTGGAGTCCATAAAATCTGGAAGGGAGCAAATGCTTTTTTAACAACAATGTAAGTGACGTTCCCCTGTAGCAGGGGGCGTCTCACACCTTAAGATACCCTCTTTTGGTCATATATTTCTAAACAGAGGCATCTTCATATCTTAACTGATTTGACTGCTGGCCTGGCACACACAGACCACATCGATCGACTATGAGTTTGTCACACACTTGATGTTAGCTTGCTTGAAGTGTTGAACACGAAAAAGAAAACTATGTGAAAATTATGTTTAGCAATCAAATTCAATCCATAACTGTCACTTTTAAAAACGCAAAAAAATGCTTTTTACACCGCCCCTTGAAGCTAATATCCCTGAACAAGGTGAGATAGCCTAGCTAACAAAACACCTAGCAGTATCATTTCAGCAAAATGATTGAGTTTTGTTGAGTTGAACAATTTTTAGTTAAATGTTGGCCCGTTCTGTGTGTTGTTCTATTTTTGTTTTGTTTTTTTAACAAAATGAATGCTGTTGTAAATTAAATGGCCCAGGTGTGTAGTTGACACAGACCAAATATGAAGCTGATCTGATTAAATTCCTAGGAGTTCGCAAAAGTACAACGCCTGGAAATGGCAAAATCGGTGCCAAAATCTCACATTCAATTCAAAATGGTGGACTTCCTGTTGGGTTTGCGTTGATGGGCCCAATTACTTTTTTGTTCGTCTTGGTATGTTTCATTCATGTAGCTCAAACTATGTGGTCATAGGACTTTATTTAACAACGCATAGGTGGCGCTCTAGAGCCATTTTGCACCACGCATATGCGAAACTATTAAAATACCAATTTCTTTTTACCAGACCTGACACGTGTGCAACATTTCTTTATTTTTTCTCTGTTTTTAAGTATGTTAAAGCCCTCAAAAAGCCACTTGTTTTGTCTGAATAATAATAAACGTAGCAATTCCAGTAGGGTCTTCGTACTTTTAGTGCCCGGGCCCTAATTACTGAAATAAAAACCAAAACAGAATGTCTAAAGACTTGAAAGAATCTGATCACCACGGGCACGCCCACGCTTCCCGGAGCGAGCACGTACTGTACAGACACTGAGAACAATACGTCAGTACGTGCTTGAGCCTGCCCGAAAATGTTCTCCCGTGTTGTCGGATTTCGAAGGAGCGCAAGACTTTGCGGTGAAATAATACATTTTTATCCGTGAGAAAACCAAAAGCAAACCGCATGTGTGGAAACTGAAGTTATTCGCAGTTCCATTACTTGGTGAAACTGTGATTTTGGCTGGCTCGACAGGGAAGTTTGTGTGATCGTTTTTCCCGGAGTGATGTCGAATCCTGGGAGTCGGAGGAACGGGTCCAGCATCAAAATCCGACTGACAGGTAAAAGCGAGAGCGAAAGAAAGAGCTTACGGTGCACGTTTAAACCGGAACTCAGTGTTTGCTCGGTAACGTGTTGATTTTAGCAAACCCAACGAGACAACGCGAAGTGTCTTTGAGCCTCTCGAGTCTGCTGTTCGCCCAAACATCCGGTTTTTGTGTGGCAAACACCAGCCGAGTGCTAGCTTGTTAGCTTAGATGCTAAGTAAATTACCGAGAGGACAGCCGAGGAGCTGTTCACTGTCCTGTGCGTTTTTGCAGCTGAGACAGGCGACTAGTCCGCTAGTCGTGGTGAATGCCGACGCTTGAAAGCCACGCTCAGAAACTTTATCAACCACTAACAGTGGCTTCTTAGCCTGCTAGCTAATAGTAACATTGTGGTTAATGTTGACCGCTAGCGCTTGCTAGCTACACCCTTTTTGGGGGGTGCTGACCACCAGCCGAAACCTCCGCTTCAGCCGAATGCGGCGAGCTCTGTAACGCTGGGGAGAGAGCAAATGTCGAGCGGCAGCCTGTATGAAAATTGATCTCCCGCTAGATTTGACATCCTAGTCCGGATTACCAATGAGTATCGATTGGCATTTCGCTGCTGTGTCAGCTGTAGCTGCACAAATGTCGGACTCGTTGAACTTGTCCCCACTGAAGGAAGTGCAGCATGTTTGTTCTTCAGGGGTCATTTATTCAACCGAATTGAGATATTTTTTTTTTTTTTTCAGTTTGTGGGTCGGAGTCTGCCCTGTAGGTCATATAGAAGTTTCCTCCTCCGCTCCACATACAGTCACAGCTGGAACAAAGGTTCCTACTGTTGATAATGTAACCCCACTGGGCATCCAAGGGCCTCTATTCAAATGGAAATGACCCATCTGAGCCGCTGAGCAGACGCCTTGTCCCCCTGAGTCAAAACTGAGCCACGACACACACTAAAATTTGCTTTCCGTCAGACTAAATATTTCTTTGTGTGGTTTTCATGGAACATTGCAGCAGTGTACTGCAAAGGTATGATTGTGATGGATGTCTTTTAAAGCAAATGCCTGTCAGCACTGATGTGGTGAAGTGCTGTCTGAAAATGCGCCCCACATGCTGTTTACTTACTGACTCTTCCTCTCAGAGTGGATTTCAAGAAGGAAGGACGGGAATCAGACCAACGGATCTAGCACACTTCGTCACTTATCCCACTGTTTATACATTTCAGTTTGAGGTTATCTGCGCTTGACGTTATCACTGAGTCTCACTTAGCCACGTAGATCTGCAAAAGAACAGTTCATCGCTCCTTTTGTTTGAAATAATAACAAAGGACTGATGTCACTCTTGACATTCAAGAGTGACATCAGTGATCAAAATAGATTATGTCATTGTATCAACTGTAAGCGGGTATTTTATATACTACTAAGATTGGTAGATTAACTGATAACAAATCATTTTAATCAGAATCAGTTAAAACACTGCAGTCATCTGGGATTATAATAGATCGTGTCCTCTTATGATAAAGTTTACTGTAAGCGACTCTGGTAAAATAAGCTCTACAAGAAGTATGTTATCGTAAAGTGTTTCATCAGGTGAGTTAAAATGAAAGCAAGCAGAGAAGGTATGTGTGTGTAAACTTGTATGCAACCAGAGGTTATTGCCCCTGACTGTGCCCCGCCTCCACAGGTATGAGTGGAATTCTAATTGGGTAAGGAATGTGCAATGAGCCAATGGGAGTGCAATGCTGCCAGGCTGGCCAGCTCTGTTTAGTCTGCCAGAAAGAGTTGGTTGTTTCCCCCCCTTAACATCAGTATATCTGGAAAGCGTGCACGTGTGTGTGTGCAATAGGGACATAAGCATGTTTGACACTGGGTCAGATCTGAGAGACTTTGTTGTGTTTACAAGTGATTGTTGTGTCTTCCTGTGTTCGTTATCTTTTTCTTAAGCTTAAGTATTGCTTTGAATAACACGGAAGACCTAAGTAAGTGAAATACTTAATGAAAACAGGGGGAAAAAATGTAAACTATTTTGAAACTTGTGTAATGCGGTATAGACATTTGTTTAGGAAGCAAAAGGATACTGGTTGAATTCCAGCCAGAGACACACGAATCCCTGGGTTTGCATTAGGTTGGGCATCTGGCATAAAACTCTACCAAATCAACCTAGTGCATCCACCGCTTGTGAGAAGGGAACAGTCAGAAGTAGCTTCTGTATCGAAACCAATGTATAACCAAATTATTTATGTCATACACAGTGTTAAATATTTTGAAAAAAAGTACCAAGTGTTTGATCATACGCTAATTTTGTGAGTTTTGATACCAAAAACTTGCAACTGCAGTAATATTTTTAAAAATAAATAAATAAAATAACTAGCTGTAGTGTATCTCTGGTTTTTGAGCTTGTGAAACATAACATTTGAATGCAAAAATATGGTCAAGGCAAGATGCAGAACATAAGTAGGTCAAAAATGGTGGAGAAAAGGGTGTTTTTGTTTGTAAGTGAATGGTGTTTTATTGTGGAAAATGCCATGAAAAGAATTAAAGAATCAGTCATTTAGTAGGATAAAGTTAGTGGACGCAACACGTGCCGCTCAGGTTTTGGTGCCAGTCAGTCGGATTGAGTGCTTAACTTGCCTGAGCTGCAATACAGGGCAGCATCAGGACAAGAGGTTACTTGAGCGGGAAGGGGTGAAGGAGCTGAAAAGAGGAGGACAGAAGTGCGAGGGAATGAGGAACAATCAAAGAAAAGGAGAAAAAAAGCAGTGAAATAAAAATGAGTGTTTGTGTGATGGATACAACAGAGGAGAGAAGGGGGGAGTCAGATTCATGCTTACTTAGGAAGCAGCATAAGCATTTCTAATCCCTTCACTTACTAAGCTTGCAGTATGTGCAGAAACACATTTACAGAAAAGCATGCAAAACAGGATGTAGAAACATGGATGAAGAGGTTAAAGAGCCTCAGCGTCCACTTATTCTTCATTACAGAACCATTGTCTGGGTTAGATGTGCAAGCCCTTCTGTTGTCCTGCGTCTGTGTACTGCAGGCTACTTGTTATTAAGCAGGTGTGATATTTGCTCACATGTCCACCAACCACTGCTTTGTTTTTGTTGCCGAAAGAAGGAGGTCATACAGGAAATGACATCATCATAAGCTCACGAGTTGTTCTGCTTGTAAGGCTGCGGGCACTTGCTGAGACAAGAAAGTCTAGACCGCTCGAAGTTTGTCAGCATTCATCATGTTTTTTGACTCGAGCTGTGATCAAAGTGCAAAGAGATTGCACTACCTTGGCTTCGTTACCGGAGCACTCGGCCATTAATGGTGATTTAGGAAGCTTTAATTAGGCGCTGCAGTTGTGCATTTCTGGTCATTATCCAAAGAATATCTGGTGTCAAAGAGGTGTAGAGCAAGTTTACTAACGTCTGTAGGAGATGGTTGATGTGATTTTTTAAATTCCTTATGTAGCTGACTGACTGGTGCAAAAGAGGCTCACTTTTTCTTCACCTCTCTCAAACTGTTTCTGCTTGTCCCATCAAGATTGGATGAATAGAACCCCCGCCATCACTACCATACTGACTGTCTAGCTTTTTCATACTTTTTTTTTTTTTTTAAACAGAAAGGCAGTAAATGCAAATAAAAAGAAAGGGAAATGACAGTGGGGAAAGAAACTGAGAACCAGCTGAGCTGTTAGGCTGTAAGCTCTGTGTGTTTTTTACCAGCCATGACCTTCGCAGAATGAGGAATTTCCTGAGATGCTGAGAAAGGTCCTGTCACACATTCAGGGCCACAGAAGAGCAAGTCAGAAAACACATTGTGGGAAGAATTGGTGAATAGCACAGCAGGGACAGCGACAGAGGCTTCCTTTACTTCCAGTCTGAAATAGGTGGCAGACTTTAGAAACTCGATTCCCTCCCTTTCCTCACACACTGCGTTTCTTTCATTACGTCTGTAGAAAAGATGAAGTCTCAGTGTGGAATGTGTGAGTCAGGAGGAAAGGATTGGAAGAGGTTGACAGGGAACAGGGAAGGATATCCTGAAGCCATTCTCCATTGGTTAATCACAGGAAATGGACTAGGCAACACCAGACACGTACGTGCCACTCTGGTCATCACATCCTAAACCACTGACTGCCTGACTAACTTCCTAGATAGCCGTCTGGGCCAAACCGAATCAAAAGGCAGTTTAGGTGTGTGGCAGATCAGTTAAGATCTAAGGTTGTTTTCCCCTGACGGTACCAGCAGTACTTAACTCTGAAATGTTCCCAGTGTCTCACCAGCATTGTTCAGTTAGTGTAGATTGCATGGAGGACTTTTGAGATTATCTTTATTAATATGCAGAATACTTTTTTTTAATCAGCTTCTAAAGAATTAATTACACTGATCTAGTCCAGTGCCTGGGGTAATAAATGAAAATATTGCTTTATCAGGTCAGCAGCGTGAAGCTCAAAGATTAAATCTATTAATGGACACAAAACAAGAAAAGCACCAAATCTACATGTTGAGGAACGCAAATATTTGGTCATTTGGGTAAAAAAAGAAGGGCAAATAATTAAGGGATCATCAAAGTAGACTAAGTGCAGAGTCAGCTTATTTCAACTTGCCATGAAAGGTAATTTAAAGTTGCGGTAGATGTGTAATGAAGGCCACAAAACCCCTCAGATGTGTGGGATGACTCTCCTACCCACTTCATGCACCCATTGCTCCCCTGCCAAGCTCCATGCAGGTGATTGATTGGGTTACACATTCTAACTCAGATCTGATTTTGACCCCCCCACCCCACCCCAATTCATTTTAATATGAAAATGAACAACAGAGAGATGAAGCCACATTATTTTTCTAAGGTTCTGTCAGGCTGTCTTGTTTTTGGCCACAGAGCAGGCCGTTTATCTTAATTACGTGTCATGTCAAACAGTTTGAGCTGAAACTAGCACAAGAACTCATAAATACCTTCTGGCGACCTTTATGTTGGTCCATAGTGGTGTGTATTTTTAATATTTAAAGAATAATCAAAAAATAAATAAATCGCTGACATTGCAGTCCAGCTCAAGAAATGTGCTGTTCATGTTAGATTTTGCATTTACTTCCTTAAAATATCAGTGTGACTGTGAATCACTAGACTCACACTGACATTCTGCAGTAACACTGGAGTAAATGTGCAACACGACACCAACGGAAATCATACTTTATCCACACATAACCTATATGTTGTCAATAACCCAGTACAGTGGCTTAACTGTGGGTTTTTTTCTGCATTGACAGCAGAGGCTAGAGGCATTGGGACAGCTGTGTTTGCCTGCACGTAGTCACTTTCACTCAAGCTGTTAGTTGTTAGTTGTAGCTGTTAGTTAGTGCAGCTTTAGTGATTTCCACTCTTCAGTGCCTTCCAAAGCAAACGATTACTAATTATGGCAGAAAGTGCTGTTTGTGCATTTGTGCTGTTGCCCACGTAGTCATGACATGGAGTGTGTGGATTCTTCTTTTCCTAAAAGCTAATGTTAAAAATGACTAAAACTAAGTTTAGATCTGCCGTCGTCTGTGACGGGAAGAGAAGCCAGAAATACTACAGTGTCTTCTGGACGCTGATGGTGACTAAATGAAGCTAGCCCAATACATTCTTCTTTTTTTAACCTTTAGAAATGTTAGCGCACCGGAAGAAGATGATAATCTAATCTTAAGCATACTGACTGTTATGACACGCTGAAATAAGAGATGAAACATCAGGACAGTTAACTAAAAAAAGCGGAACTTTGAAGGTCCTTTTTAATGCACAGTGATCAGCTGATCTTTACAGATAAGTGTGTCGAACAGCAAACACAAAGCTCACATGCAGTCAGAACAAAAACCTTACTGTTTCTTTACAAAGCAGAGCTCACAGGTATACACCCTACACTTTACTTACCAGCCCAAATAAAAACACTGCATATAAATTTGACAAAGGCCCGGTGGACTTGAAGTGTAAACATTATCCGTGTTGATTACAGCTTACCTTTTGAATTGCATTGCATCAGCTGTGAAAACCAACATGCAGCTTGTTTTTGTTCTGCCCTGAAACAAACACTTGAGTGTATTTCTAAAAAAAAAGAAGAAGAAGAAGAAAGAAATAGCTGTAAAGTTGTTGCTCTCTTGTGTTTTCAGTGTTAGAGGAGAGCTAGCCTAGGGTGTCATATGCCAGCTGTCTGGGGAAACAAATAACCAGACTTTGTGTACACCCACGTACATGATAAACAACAGTTTGCACACACTTACAAATTCTCAGTCTTGGTCAGATTGAGCTCTGCTCTCTGACTCTACAAAGATGGTGTGGGTATAGAAAGTGGTCTCCTGCTTTATCCGTGGGTGGTCTTTCAGCGTGTGTCTGTCTTTGTGCGTTTTGCCTGACACTAGCCTGTACTTCTCTGTCCGTGTCATATCCACTTTCATGACCGTCCTCTGGCATTCATACATTTATCCTGACCCACATTCTTTCCCCTCAGATGCGTCCTCTGTGTCAGCCTACGTGCTGTGATATTACATATATTTGTGTAATTTTTTTCTCCTTTCTCTTGCAGTATTATGTGCCAAGAACCTCGCAAAGAAAGACTTCTTTCGTAAGTACTCTGATTGTGATCTTTTTCACATGCATATTTCTGGCATTATAAAGAGCCCGTGTGACATAGGAGCGACTGTGAAAACAGAGTGCCATTGATGTTGCTCATTTGCTGTTCTGAGGGATAACTGTTGACCTGTGGTAGCGCTGGAATACAACAATGACCCTGACTGTCACCCCACAATCAGGGGTTTGTTTAAGGCTGCAAAGCTTCTCCGAGTGTGCCCAGTTTTGTTCTTGGTCAGAATTTGTTAAAGGCTGCCTGGATTAGAGTCTTCATTTCCTGTCAGATTAGATGGTGAATCTCAAGTACTGTTAATAAGAATGGCAAACAAACTGAATTTCCTGTTTGTTTTTAAACTGCAGGCCAGTATGAGTCTAGATACAAATACAACAACTCCATTTATGTTAAATGTTTTATCATGGAGATCATGTTTATGAGAAGCACCTAAGCCACTTTGGATTTTGAGAGACTTTATGGGCAACAGATTTTTAATTACAAGTTTTTGTGTGCAGGTCTGCCAGATCCTTTTGCCAAAGTCGTGGTGGACGGATCAGGTCAATGCCACTCTACAGACACAGTAAAGAGCACACTGGACCCCAAATGGAATCAGCACTATGACCTGTGAGTCTCGTCCACAGCTCTAAAAACAAATCTACTATGCGTTTGCAGTAAAGTAATTTCTGCTTAGGTATAGATATTTAAAATGAATTATAATTAGTTTAACATAGCCATCCATCCATTTTCTACCACTTGTCTGTGTTCAGGTCACGGAGGCAGCAGTCCTCTGTCGTGCGTTTTAAACAGAATAAAATAAAACAACAGTTTTTGACTTCTTGTCTTATATCAGCACAGATGTGCTGGTGTTGTCTGAGTGGCGACACCTATCATTCATGAAAAGACATTAGCGGCTGCCTGTGCCTTATCACAGGGCATGAGTAGAAGTGACTTTTAAAGACATTACCGGCAGCACACAAAGCAATAAACGCACCAGGTATACTGGGGACTCAAACAGAGAGACCCAGGCTCCCCTTGCCCCAGCCACCTCTTCCCAGTCACCACCAGGCGACACTGAGTTATTCCCAAGCCAGCAGGTTGGACCCAGCAGGTTCTGGGTCTAACCTGAGGCCTGGTGTCCAGGAGGCATCCTTTTCAGATGCCCGAACCATTTCTTTCGATGTGGAGTAGCAGTGGCGCTATTCTGAATCCCTCTCAAACGACTCAACTCCTCACCCTGTCTCTAAAGCCTGCATTATGCTCTGTTGGGGACACGGACTGCTGGAGACCCTACAGCCAAATATTCATTCCTGTTATACTTCTTTGAAGTACGCTGCCTTGATGGGATGCGTCATTGGTGGATTGTAATGTAAATTCTCTGAAGATGAATCTGTGCGGTTACAAAAAACAGGCAGGTACGTGGATGCCTGAGCTGACCCTCACACTGACTGTCTGATGATGAGTTTGACGTCACTGGGACCCAAACAGACCCTAGCAAACTCACAGACACAGAAAGTATGAAATCTGTTTAAGTGAGAGGCTAGCCACCCTTCGAAGGAAACTAATTTCTGCTACTGGTGTCCGCCACCTCATTCCTTCGGTCACTACCAAGAGCTCATGACCACAGGTGAAGGTAGGAGCATAGGTCAACCAGTTAATCAACAGGTTCAGTTTTAAGCTCAGCTCTCTTCATCACCACAGATCAGTACAGCATCTGCCCCCAATCCCCGCGTCAGTCTCACAGCTCTGGCTCTCTTCCACAGCATATCCTTTATCCTGTCTTCCTTCTCTCACCTCAACCGGTCGCAGCAGATGGCCGTCCCTCCCTGAGCCTGGTTCTGCTGCAGGTCTCTTCCTGTTAAAAGGGAGTTTTTGCTTCCCACTGTTGCCAAAGTGCTTGCTCATAGGGGGTCATGTGATTGTTGGGTTTTTCTCTGTATGTAATATCATAGGGTCTACCTTGCAATTTAAAGCACCTTGAGGCAACTGTTCTAGTGATTTGGAGCTGTATAAATAAAATTGAATTGAACTTGTGAAGACCTGAAGACACTTAAACTCCTCCACTTTTGGCAGCAACTCATCTATTCTTTGTCATTTTAATTGATTTTCAGTTATATGTAAATGTAACAACTCATTAAAGATGCAGAAGATCTACAGATGTTGATTGTTTCATTCATTCAGATCTTTGACCTTTAAAATGGCTCGCCTTCATAAAAAGCTGGATTAAAGAGACCTGTTGCACTTGTCACTTGTTTTGTTTTTTTAGCTACATTGGTAAAACAGACTCCATCACCATCAGTATATGGAACCACAAGAAGATCCATAAACGACAGGGGGCAGGTTTTCTGGGCTGCATACGACTGCTTTCTAATGCCATCAGCAGGCTAAAAGACACAGGATGTAAGACCGTCGTCTTTATCTACTGCTCTGATTTTAAATACACACATCTTCACACCATTTATTTAGTGCTGCTCTGTCAAGAAAATAAAAATGTATTTGCTTCCTGTTTCAGACCAGCGTCTAGATCTATGTAAGCTAAACCCCTCTGACAGTGATGCAGTGCGGGGGCAGATTGTAGGTAAGGCTGGACAGCGATGGAGCGTATGTACAGATTAGTCATATTGTTGCTTTTCTTTCACTGTGTGCATTTTCTGCACTCCCCCCTCTAACACGGCGTCAACTCTCTGACCTGTCCGTCCTCCTTGTTTACAGTGAGCCTGCAAACACGAGACCGCATTGGCAGCGGAGGCCCTGTTGTGGACTGTAGAGGACTGTTAGAAAATGATGGGTGAGTGTCACCAGATGTTAACCCTGCTAATATCACACCCTAACTTTTAAATACAAGACTGTTGTTTGGATCTCATGTGATGTTACACAACAACCTGTTTTAGGTCAGAGGATTATTTTAGTTCTATTTGTTAAGTATTTGTCCCTCCTGCTGTCTTTGTTGCGCTGAGTTTGAAATAAAAAGCAGTTGACCCGTCATGTGATTCCAGTGTGTTTTTCTTTGTGCGTTTGTGTGTAGGCCTGTGTTTGAGGGGTGTTTCAGTGAAGAACCGCTGCCCTACTCCGACTCCACCGGTGCCGCGGGAGGCGGGAACTGTCGGCTCGACTCTCCCAGTCAGGAGAGCCGTCTTCAGACCCAGCGAATCAGAGGGCAGGACTCCAGAGGTCATGGCCACACCCCTCAGAACAGACCGCATGGACACCAACCGCCTGACCTGCCAGAGGGATACGGTCAGTGATGAACTCCTGTTGTGGCTATAGATATTTGTTTAACCTAAACCTCACATAGTCCATTTAATGGCTTTCTTTTCTTGTTAAAACAGAGCAGCGAACAACAGTGCAGGGCCAGGTGTACTTCCTCCACACACAGACAGGCGTCAGCACCTGGCATGACCCCCGGATACCACGGTATGACTATGCTGCACTTCATTTAGTCCAAGCATAACTGGAAAAGAGGTGAAAGCCTACAAAGAGACTTAGCCACTGCATCTGCAGACTTAACACTCCCTTAAAGTACTCTACTCTCAGGGTTATACTCAGGATTGTATAAAAATTTTCTAAAGGCTTAACAAGAAAAGTCTGTTTCTGTAAGTGAGTGCATTCACATGTAGGTTTACATGTAATTTAAACTTTTCTTTGCATGTTGAGAGGGAGGTCTTCCTTCCTACTTTTGCTGAGTGCATGCTCATAGAGGACCATCGGATAGTTGGGATTATAACTCTATTCTAAACTAGAGTGATATGGTTGACTTGTCCATACACTAAAATTAATGTTTTAAGCATTTGATTTATACACTCAGGCTAACATTTTAGGCCTTATCTACATCTTATATCATACTTCATCTACAAGTTATACTTTGTGTAGATACATCTTGTTTTATGATCTCATAATTTGTGCTAATGGGTGACTGTGACAGTTTTACACCACTTACAATTCTTAATTAGTAAGATTTATGGATGGTTTTGACAGTACGAACTACCCCCGGTCATAAAAATGTCAGCAATATTAATTACTGCTAACTATAAATCTGTCATAACAGCCCATTACTTCTGACCCTATATGCTGACCTTAATCATAAACATGTCCAAATGACTGTGTTTTAAAGTTTATGATTCAAGGGTTATGTAAAGAGGGCCAAAAAATGATGAAATTCAAGTGTTTTGTTTCACACTGAGGAAAATTTCAAAATCTGTTATGGTGAGGTACTGATCACAGTAAACATGTACAAGCATTTCTTCAACAAATGTTTTGGTTTTAATAAGGTTCTCAAAGTTTGCAGCCCAAAGAGGTTCAACAGTTTCTTCAAATTTGTGACCCGACACTAAATACACAGTTCGACCCTGTAATGAGCAGCGATATCTAAAAGAAGTGCACAAACACTTTGCTCCATGTGTCTTTAGAGCATGCCCGCTGTCTTTCTTATGCTCTTATTCAGCAGCAGATAAATAAAATAACTCTTAGTAGCTTTTCATGGGCCTTTGGGGTCCAAGTTTAGTTCAGTATGAGGATTATACTACTTAGTATGCATGTTCAGAACAGGTGGAAATGTGGTGCTCTGTCTCACTGTGTTTATCTGTTACTGGTGCAGGGATTTGGCCAGCGTGAGCTGTGAGGAACTCGGGCCTTTACCTGTAGGCTGGGAGGTCCGAAGCACCGTGTCTGGCCGGATCTACTTTGTGGACCACAACAACCGAACCACACAGTTCACAGACCCACGCCTACACAACATTATCAGGTAAAGCATGGACCAATCTAATCTGCCACCGACCTACTAACGCTGCTGACTGGTGTGATATACAGAAACATGAGCTTATGGTAGATTTCACTGCTTATGCTGAATGGGGCTGTGTGTAATCCTGTGCGTATCGTTCTTCCACAACCTTATATTTCCCTTCTGTTCTCCTCCTCTACTTCTTCCCACCTCCAGTCAGCAATCACAAGTGAAGGAATCTTCCCAGGCCCCCCAGATGGATGTGGGGGGTGAGGAGGGGGGCGGTGGAGGAGTAAGTGGCGGCGGCGGAGGAGGAGGGGATGGAGATGTGGCAGCGCGATACGAAAGAGATTTGGTGCACAAATTAAAGCTGCTCCGCCACGAGCTGTCGCTGCAGCAGCCTCAAGCGGGACACTGTCGTATAGAGGTGTCCCGAGAGGAGATCTTTGAGGTGAGTGCAGGTGGAAGCAGAGGAAACACAGAAGCACTGGCTGTGAATATTAAATAACCGATTAACAAAAGAAAACTGATCTAAACCTGATAGCCTGTAATTAAAGCTGTGTGCGTTATACAGGAGTCATACCGGCAGATAATGAAGATGAGGCCCAAAGACTTGAAGAAACGGCTAATGGTGAAGTTCAGGGGAGAGGAAGGACTCGATTATGGTGGAGTGGCCAGGTAATTTGCTGCACGGTGCTTTTATCATCCTATCGTCCAAGTACCAGTGCTAAGTACACGGTGACAGCTCTTTTAATGCCTGCGCTTAAATGTTAAATGTTACTGCAGTGTTTCCCACCGAGAATTTACAGGTAGTAAGGGGTAGTCTGACATACAGCTGTGAACTTAATTACTATATAATTTATAAATTTACCCCATGTTTTGAAAAAGTGCTACATCAACTGCTTGTACAAAAGACTGGATACAAAGACAGGATCTTGTATTTGATTGTTTTCACTAAAGTCTTGGTGCTACTTCATCTTTGTGATCATTGTGGTGTCTGTCTGCAGGGAGTGGTTGTACCTGCTGTGTCACGAGATGTTAAACCCCTATTACGGCCTGTTCCAGTACTCCACAGACAATATCTACACACTACAGATCAACCCAGACTCCTCCATCAATCCTGTGAGTACACACAAGTAAACCCACATAACGAACAATGCTAATAAGTCCCGACGCTGTGTCTCACACTGTCTTTCTTTTAAGGACCACCTGTCATATTTCCACTTTGTGGGTCGTGTGATGGGCCTGGCAGTTTTTCACGGTCACTACATCAACGGGAGCTTCACGTTGCCCTTTTACAAACAGCTGCTGGGCAAACCCATCCAACTCAACGACCTGGAGACCACCGACCCCGAGTTGCACAAGAGCCTCGTCTGGATATTGTGAGCAAAAGCACCAATAAATGAATCCTCTCAGCCTGGCACAGGCAGACTGCTTAGTTTGTGTCCTGCGTGCTTGTCTACATAGTTTCCATTTCAGCTTTTACTTTGATGTGTTGTGTGCAGGGAGAATGACATCACTTCAGTACTTGATCACACGTTCTGTGTAGAGCACAATGCCTTTGGGAAGTTCTCACAACATGAACTCAAGCCTAATGGTCGTAATGTCCCCGTCACTGAGGAGAACAAGAAGGAATATGTAAGGTAAATAACTCCACAGTAGTACTCTAAACTCTGTGTCGGATACAGAGTGTAAACATTACTTGCAAACGTCTGCCAGACGTTTACTTATTTATTTATTTTTTTTATTCATTTCAGACTTTATGTGAACTGGAGGTTTATGCGTGGAATTGAAGCCCAGTTTCTGGCTCTGCAGAAGGGGTTCAGTGAGCTCATCCCACAGCACCTCCTCAAACCCTTCGACCATAAAGAACTTGAGGTACGCGTTTGATACGTCAACAATATAGTAGTACTTATTAAATATTTATATGACTTTTACCATATCTGCATGTTGGATTGGTAGTTTTGATTAAATTTCTTCTTCTAATCTGTTATCTAATTCATTATATCCATCTCAAACCCCTACCCACCACCCCGTCTCTAAATCTCTTCAGTTGATCATTGGTGGACTAGGAAAAATAGACCTTGCAGACTGGAAGACTAACACCCGTCTGAAACACTGCACAAGTGAAAGCAATGTGGTGCGGTGGTTCTGGCAAGCAGTGGAGGCTTTCAGTGAGGAGAGGAGAGGACGCCTTCTGCAGTTTGTCACAGGCTCCACCAGGGTCCCCCTACAGGGATTCAAAGCGCTGCAGGGTGGGTCATGCACTGGTACAAACACAACATACACCTTTTGGTTACACTTTGCTTCTGGTATTCCTTTGATGGTAACATTTAGTTCACTTTTTCAACACATAACTCATATACAAGGCCTTTAAATGCAAACTTTTTAACCCAAATTAGAACAACATTAGCTTCATGTGAGAATGGTTAGATGCATGTTTCAATCTGAAACCCATTAAAGAGTGTTGAGAGCTTTTTCTATTTAAAGTCTTTTCTGTGTACCAGAGCAGTGATAACTAGAATGTATGTGTGTAAGGCTCTACAGGTTCTGCAGGACCAAGACTCTTCACCATCCATTTGATAGATGCTAACACAGAAAACTTGCCCAAGGCTCACACGTGGTAAGAACAGATTTCACTTAGTGTGTCTATATTTGTGTCAATTATTTTTTTGTTAGTGAAGTAATTCACTCTTTTCTGCCTCCAGTTTCAACAGGATAGACATCCCTCCCTATGAGTCTTACGAGAAGCTTTACGAGAAACTGCTGACTGCTGTGGAGGAGACCTGCGGCTTTGCTGTGGAGTGATGAATCTGCGCACACTTAGCCCTTGCACGTGCACACAGACTATGTGACATTTTACATATATGCACACACACACAAACCGAATATCAAGTATACACCAAGTATACAGAGCAGCCAAGCATCACAAGAACACACTCACTCTCCTGCGACACCTTCACCTCCCGAATCTGTTGGAGGTTAAAGGAGGAAGCACAGCGGGAGGAGAACATTTAAAAAAAAAAAAAAGGACTAAAAATTTTTTCAAGTGTTTTGAAGAAGCATTTTTATCCTTCTGTTTTAACAAGCTATGATGTCATCCTTCAGAATGTTTAACCACCGCAGCGAAGTCTCGGGACGGATTCAGCCAATCGGATACGAAGCCGGGAACATAGAAATCAGATTTGTGAAGAAGACGACAAAACAAAAAAAAGGAAAAAAAGACAGAGCCTGTTTGTCTTTCTGCCTGACGAGTCGATTGATTGACTAGTATTCATGCTTCGTGTTTAACCACTGTCGTGTCTCAGAATGAGCGCATGTATGTACACGTGTTTGTCTGGGTGTGTGTGCATGTGAGAGAGTGCAGATCTATGTGTCTGCGTGTTTTTGCGTTTGTGTCAGGCATGACACTCGGTTACGCTGTAAAAATGATCAAATGAGCCTGCTCCTCTTTTTCTCTTTTTTTTTTTTTTATCTTAATTCCTTTGTTTGTGTCTGCGACCACTCTGATCCACTCTATTTTATTATTTATTACTAAGTGATTACTGACCAAGCTGCTATATGCTCTGCGTGGAGCCCACACTAATGTCCTCATCACCCCCTCCCCCATAGTTGAAGGGTCAATTCACATGCAAGTAACCCACAAAGTGGGTTCTATTGAATTTTGTTACATTTTTTTAACATTCGTATTACTGCAGAGAAATACTCCTTGTCATTGTATGAAACCTGCTAGTGTTTTTGGTGTTTTAAATGCCCTGTTACATCTGTTAAAAATGAAATCAAAGTGGCTTTCCCAAGCCTTGATTTAAAAAAATCCAAACCCAACGAAGGTAAGGAAAAGGCAACCGGAATTGGTTTTTGGTTTTTTTAAACCGAGGATTGAAAGAACGTGTTTCTGGAATTCTGTATAGTTACATCTCCTAAGCCTTTTATACAAGTTTTAGCCCTCATTTTACCTGCTTTTTTTTTTTTTGTGGCCCTGATCCCCGCCCCTTTTTCTCTCCATAGCCTGAATGTTGGCAAGAAGTCATCGTCAAGACCATGAATGAGTTTCTTAGCAGTCATTAATGCTCCAAATTGAACGAAATCAGAAGCTTAGAAGTTGAGCAAGCAACATAGAAAGTTCTGTTTTAAATTGAAGACTGTTAATAAGCAGGACCATTTCAGTCTGTATTATCAAGGGTATGAGTTCACTGTGTAATGGATGCAGAAGTATTGTAACTTACTATGTACTAAACATTTATGAAAATTGCGTTGTAAATAAGATTATATTAAAAGAAATTACATTGAAAATACATTGCTTGTGTCTTGTGTCTCTATGTCGACACTTATGGGTCTAATTAAACCAAACACATTTATTATATGTATTCTTAAGCAGGTTTCCATCACTTCAAACATTAACATTAATGAGAGCATGTAAGCAAAAGAGACCTGCTTTGCTCTTGGACTTTGCATGAATCACACAAATCGATTCAAAATGATTAATATTTGCAGTAAAGTTTAAGTATTTGGACATTTTTGCCTCTGTACACTACCACAGTGGATTTTAAAGAAACTGTGATTGAAGTGCACACTTTCAGTTTGAATTCAATGGGTTTAACAACTGTTTAGGAATTCGGGCCATTTTTATGCACAGTGCCCCCATTTACAGAGGCTCTGAAGTAATTGGGCAATTGACTGACAAACAGTTTCACAGTCTGGTGAGGCCTGTTCCAATGGTATTCCATAACAGCCGAAGCACAGAAAGTATCAGGAGTTGAGTCCAAGTGTTGGATTTTGTAGCTGTTTACTGGATTTTTCAAAATGAGAGCCAAACAAATGTTGATGCAAATTAAGGAGACCTTCATTAGACTGCAAAAATAAAACCGCAGAGAGAGAGCGCAAATCAACAATCTGGTTCATTTGTAAAAGACAGAATGTCCTGACCTGCTCAACAACTCAGTAGGTAACTCCCAAGGTTAAGAAAAGCAGATTACCTCTTCCAGGGTGCTCTCGACATGTAACAAACCTGAGACACCCTGGAAGAGGTAGGCATATCATTATCAAAGTCTACAATCAAGAAACACCTTCATGAATGAAATTTCAAAACAAGGTGCAAACTGTTATTCATGAATAAGGCCAGATTAGACTTTGCAAGAAAACATCTAAAAGAGCCTTTGCATCTCTGTAAAATAACAAAATAAGTTCTATGGATAGATGAAACCCAGATGAACTTTTACCAGAATGATGAGAAAAGTCTGGAGATGAAAAGAAACGGCTCATGATCTGAAACATACCACATCATCTGTCAAACATGGTGGAGGTATGGCTGCCATACAGTGTTTATTGATGATGTGACTGCTGATAGAAGCAGCAGGATGAATTGTGAAGTGTATAGGGCTGTACTGTCTGCTCAGATTCAGCTAAATCCTGCAAGACAGAGCTTCACGTTGCAAATGGATAATGACCCAAAGCAAACTGTAAAAAATAACCCAAGAGGCAAAGAAATTGGAGATTCTTCAGTGGCTGAGTCAGTCATCTGAAACAGAGTATTTAGTGCAGTCTGTGGGATAACTTGGACAGACACTGAACTGTTTATTTATGATTATTTAATTCATCATTGCAATAGAATCCTATAAATGTTAGGACAACGTGAAAAGCATAGCTGGTTTCCTGTAAATAGGTTATAGCGTTACAGAGCATTTAAAAATACAGATTTGATAGTTACATATGATTTTCATATTCAAAGTCATTTTAAGTATATTATTTTGATCCGTTGTTTGAGTATGGTTTTCTTTAATCCTAACTAAAAGGGAGAGAGAGCTAATAGTTCAAAGTTTTTCTGCTTCTTGTTTAAGGAGCCCTACATATAAATACAATACCTCACGCAGTAGATAACCTGTATTTCGCGACAGAATGGGTACGTTTGTATCTTGGACTTAACGCTTGGTGAAGAATCAGGCAAGTGTGGGTGGGACTACATTTCCCACGGACCTTCTGAACGTGGTGACTGGGTGTTTTTAACGTCGTGACGTCTCTGCTCTTCTTGTTTTGGCAGTTTGTTTCGTTATTCACGGTTTGTCACTTGACCAAGAAGACGTATTGTACTCATGAACCAAGACGGAGCTGCGGTATAGTACTTTTCTACATAGATATTCTCGTGTTGTGACTTCGAGCCGTGTGGGGACTGTTTGAAGCGGTTCTGTGGACAGGAAGCCTCGCACAACTCAGCTAACTAGTCTGGCTAGCTAGCCAGCCAAGCTAATGAATGCTAGCTTGGCTAAGAGCAGTTTGTTCTGTTTGTGTCAGCGGAAATGATCGATAGCCATGATGGGATGCTTGTTTTCAAACACCGCCTTAAACTTGATGCTAAAAGGGCCATGTTAAACCTAATGTCACGGCGGGGAAAGCGGTGCAAGTGCGGGGGACGTGTACAGGCAGCTTCTCGCTGGGTTAGCGTGTCCTGTTTTAACAACACAAGATTTGTGCCACCTTTGATCAGATCGAGGACGATCAGAGCTGCGCCCGCAAGTAAAGCCGATACAGGTCGTTAGCACATATTTGTTTACACGACTGTGCCGGCGAACACATCAGTGGTAGCGCTAATGTTATTCGTCGGTGGTGATTTAAATGAGCCCAACTCCGCATTCTGTTTCCCCGTGGAGCTTCCGTCTTTGTTGAGTTCTCTCTAGTAACGTGTTTGGGGGAGTCACTAACGTGCTCCTGAGTCTTTAGTAGTCTGTGCGATTAGATTAGTTGTGTTCTCAGGGTGGAGTCCAGCTCTCCTCGTTTTCTGTAAATGTGACAGATGTTAAACTGAAACCATTTGCTGGATTCCAGGGGAATACCAGCAGGGTGATAGTGTTGTTGTGCGCGTGTCATACATAGACATTCTAACGATAGAAATTAATGGTTATAAAAAGTCACATTGAAGGGACTTGCCTCCTTTTTACGAGAAAAATAAAATAAAACAAGTTCCCATAACACGAATCTATTTTCGTTTCAAGAGTTTGTTTGTGGTAAGGGTTTAAAAGGCAGTGATTATGGTTATGGTAAATCTCCAGGAAAGTAATGCGTGTGTATGTAATGTCCTCTGATGGAAACATAACTCTCTGTATGTGTGTGTCTGTGTGTGTGGGTGTAGATGTTACTGATTGAGCAGTGATTGTGTATGTGGGCTGATTCAGGGAGCTGCTAAGTGTAGTTTCACAATGGCAGATGGAGGCAGCGATGATGAGGTCATTCACCTGGCAAGCTTCAACGTTCACCGCAGCCAAGGTGAGACTTCACATCCGCACCGGCATGCATGTAGACACAATTGTCTGTCTCCAGGATATATGATTATTGTTTTTACGCATCTATCCATTTGCTTGCTTCCACTTGTCCAAGTTAGGGCCAAGGAAAGGGCTAGAGCCTTTCGCATCTGTGGCAAGGTAGACCCTGGAATGGTCACCAGTCTGTTGCAAAGCTAACACACAGAGGCAGACAACCATTCACACTAACACTCCAATTCAACTCCTTCCATAAATCTCAACCAGAAGTCTAAATCAAGCTTTATGGTCAATTTAGAATTGTAAGTCAGCCTTGCTACACCAAGCATGTTTTGCTCTGTGGGAGGAAGCTGGAGTACACAGAGAGAAGTCACAGACATGCATAGTACATGCATTTGTTGTAACAGTGTAAAAAGTGCAACAGATGCTCCATAACTACATAAAAAAATAATTTGCTGGTCTAATAAACCCGTCAGCACCTTTATAAACTTCAGGTTAGTAACAGTATGTTAATAAAAACCTAAAAACAATTATCAAAATGTGCTCGAATATCTTGCCTTGCAGAGCTTCACGTTTTAAGATGTAAATGTTCTGCTTATGCTCTGAGAGGTCCAGCCACTTTCGTGTATTTGACCTGTTGCACACACGCATATAAACCTCGTGTTTTGTACTTTTTAGGAGGAAGTGCAAAAGTGCAGATTATTTTCAGCACCTCAGCTAGTTGTCTGATGAACTAACGGTTTCTGCAAAGAAATTCAGCATTGGCTCATGTTGCAATCA